CCCCAAAACCCCAAAACCCCAAAACCCCAAAACCCCACTTCATAATTCGGTATTTCATAGTATAATAAAATCAAAAATGGCTAGATCACTTTTAGGGTAAGGATTGGTGATCTGGAATGACTCATACTCATCTGATACTTCTCTGTATTTCATTTTGGGGTTGATGAGAACCTTTGAACCAGTAGAAGATGCTACTTTTGGTACTTAGACCATCGCATTCTTTGTTATTTTGCTTTCTTTGGTTTTCAACTTGAAAATTTTGAAATTAACGGTAATTTCCAAATTCTTTTGACTGATCTTAAAGAAAATTTTGAGCTCAAGAGACTGTATTTTAGGACAATTTTGCAATATAGTTCGCTATTTTTGATACTCTATGAATAGAAGAAGCTTTCATTTTGGCATATTATAGTTCCTGCTTTTTGTAGATTAGGAATATGATAAGAAATAATTGATTTTAGGTTCTTTACTTGCAACGGTCAAGCAGATATAAGTAAGTTATTTTTATTCTATATTATTAACTTCCATTAGGCAGAAGGACAATAACCTCAGGAGGCTTTTGTAGTTCAGAACTAAGCGAGGAACTAGAATCAATCGACTGAGGGGGTTTCCAAACCCAGCGCTTAACAGAAAACCAACCAGCCTCATTCTTCGAGTTTTCCCCAGTCAAAAGATCAATTCCTATCAAATAAAGGTACTGAGCATCTTCTAAAGCTATAGTTCATTTCGAGAATTCTGAAATTTCCTCAACAGAATCTGACCAATTCAACTGTATCAAGAATGGGAGAGAGCTCATGAGTTTTAAGCTCGAGAATAATAACGATTCTTTTCACTCCAGCCCAAGGTATTCGCCATGGAAACATGCTAGCTATGGTAAGGTATCAACTCACTTTGTAGAAAATAATGAATCAGATTCAGGCTCAGAGAAGGAAAACATGAATTCCTCCTCCAACAAGCTGGGAGATAAGAAATTCCTCGACTATGACAGCCCCTCCTTCCAAACAATTAAGGAAGAATATGAAGAATGAAGTTCTGAATTTAAAGTTCTAGAGGAATCTAAAGCTAAAATGACCAATGAGAAAGAATTCAAGCATTCTGAGATTGAGATAAAGCCGAGTCTAACTTCACTACATACGGGCTCACAGATCAAGACTCCTTCTGCTATTGCTCTGACTCAGAAGACCAAGACTAATAGTAATTATTATGAGACTTTGAAAAAGAAATATGAACTCTATACAGTAGAAACTGGTGGCTCAAAATGTCTTTTCTTCAATCAACCAGAATCAGAAGTCAAAGTAGACTCAGAGAAGAAGAATGAATTAGTCTTTGAGCATAGTGAAGTTCATATTAAATCTTCTCCTCAAAGTTCGACTTATGTTGCTCAAGGACTCTTCCCCAGCTACCAGAGTAGTCTTCGTAAGGGTCGGAATGAGACTACAACTCTTACAAGAAGATTTCATTCCAAAGGAGTTAGATCTCCTGAGTCTAAAACTCATCCTCTATATAACAGCAACAGTAACTGAGCGAGTGGACATTTCCCAGATGGCCATAACAACCAAGGAGAGCCTGTTGACTTGAGCTTGGTAGATTCAAGTAATTCTGATATCAAACAAGAAGTTGAAGTAGTGGTTCAAGTAAGCTCCAGCCTAATCTTTCAGGAAATTCCTGACACAAAGATCATTATCGAAGATTCCTCAACTAAAAAGGGGTCTATTGAAAATGTTCTAGTGCCTAACACTACAATGGAGGATATTCTCCCTGAGATAAAGCAGGAAGCAAAGCCTCCAAAACCTCTAAAGCAATCCAGAAATGTTGCGAAGAGAGCAACCACCGACAAGCTCATCGACTGCATTCTTGAGAGTGAACAGAGTCCGAGGAACAGAATCTTTCCTAAAATTAAGACTAAGAGGTAAAGCCCCTCTCTAAAGTTTAGCTCCCAAAGCTCAGCATTGACAGAAATCGATACCAACAAAATGAATCCTGAAAGGTTGAAAGTCTCATGTAATGAGAATATATTTAAGAATGGGTTGATGCCTCCAAGTCATGCTGCCTCCAGAGAGAACATTAAATCTTCTCCGATATTTGCTTTACAGGAGAGAAAGATTATCGATAGCAACAAAGTAGTACAAAAACTTGACTTTGAAGACTCTGACTACAAGGATTCAGAGCTTAAAGAGAACATAAAGACGTCATGGAATGAACTTGCCTTTAAAGAGAAAAATAAAGATGATTCTGTAATCAGGATGATCTTCCAGGACTCTGACTACCCTATCAGTGAGACTACAGATGTTGATTGCCAGAAGCTCTTTGATTATAATAATGAGCGATATGATGCCCTTATGAGGAGTAAGAGCAAAGAGAAAGGAATCATCCAGTCTTTCACACAATCGATGCACAACATGAAACCTAACAAATCTTGTGTGCCTCTGGAGTCTGGGAAGTGAGTCTATAAGTCTATGAAGGGGCCTAGCTTGGCTAAAAAGTATTCAAAAGTCTCTTCCTCAGACCAATTTATGGATAAATCAACTGTGCCTTCAAAGAATGCCTTTGTAATAAGGAACGGCAGCCTGAGAGAAGAGTTTGAGAGTGTTCACCAGAACTTCAAGAATGTGATCGGTAAAAGGAAAAAGGGGCAAAAGTAATTTAGACGTTGATTATATATAGGAAATCCAAGTCAAGGAAAAGACAGAATAATAGATCCAAGAATGCGAGGTCTCTGATGAGTAGGAAGTCCAATATCAACTTCCTTTCATCAACAGTAGTCTCTTCAGTCCTGATTCAGGAAGCTTTAAAGAATCAAAACAAGTACTCGAAAGCAAAGAGAGAGAGGGAGTCTGCTGAGATCTACCTTCTTTAAATTTTCAATTTGTTTTCAAAACTATGGGGTTTTGGGGTTTTGGGGTTTTGGGGTTTTGGGGTTTTGGGGTTTTGGGG